GAAACAGTGGAGCTGGATGTGTCAGATGAAGAAATGGCTAGAAGATATGAGACCTTGGTGGGGACAATTGGAAAAAAGTTTGCCAAAAAAAGAGATCATGCCAATTATGAAGAAGATGAAAATGGAGACATGAAACCAATTAAAGTAAAGAAGATGTTCCTGAAGCCCCAAGATTAAAAGGGATGCCTTAAGATACGGCCCAGGGATGCCTTGTGAGAGCTGACATATTTTGGGACTCGTTCCAACGGTTTCTCTATAGTTATTAATGGTATAATGTTTATTTGTAAAGAAATGTATAATTTTGGAAACATGCTGTTTTCAAAACAGATGTATGATGGATGTTATACGTGCTCTGCATGATGGTATTCATCCAAAGTGGATTTTTAGCCCTTGATCTTCAAATGTTCAAAGGTACATGGTTGCTTCCTAAATATTTTTTGGCCCCAGATTTTATTTTAATATATCACTCCAGTCACTGACCTTAAATTGACTCCTAAATTAATACCAGTGTTTAAATTGTCCTTATGTTTACATTTTACTTTAAATTATTAATCATGTCAAGCCAATTTATACATTTTGGAATCAAATATAAGAATTTATTATATGTAAACTCATCAAGAACAAACATACCTGCCTCTCTGGCTTAAAGTATTTGCATGCTGCCCTGGCCAGTTTGGCTCAGCGATTAGAGCTTTGGCCTGCGGTCTGGAGAGACCCGGGTTCGTTTGCCGCTAAGGGCATGTACCTCAGTTGCAGTTTGTCCCTGGCTCTGGTTGGGTTGTGCGGGTGGCAGCCACTCAATGTGTCCCTTTCATGTCGATGTTTCTCTCTCTCTCTCTCTCTCCCTTTCTCTCCCTCCCACTCTATCTGAACAAAAATAAATAAATAAATAAGAGATCTTTCTTTCTTAAAAAAATAAAAAAGCATTTGCATGCTATCAAGTCAGTCAGTTTGTGGAATTACAGTTTTGAGTTTAAAGCTTTTAATTCATTTTTTAAAATGTTCTGTAATAGACATGTTTTTATGTAAAAATAAATAAATAAATGAAAAATAAGGTGTTGGGCCCTGGCTGGTTTGGCTCAGCGGTTAGAGCGTCAGCCTGCAGTCCAGAGAGACCGGGGTTCGGTTCCCGGTAAGGGCACGTACCTTGGTTGCAGTTTGTCCCCAGCCCCAATTGGGTCATGTGGGAGGCAGCCACTCGATGTGTCCTTTTCAAGTCGATGTTTCTCTCTCACTCTCTCATTTCCTCTCTCTTCCTCCCACTCTATCTGAACAAAAAATGGAAAAATGTCCAGTGAGGATAAAAAACATAAATATATAAAAATAAAGTGTTGGGGGAGCTCTTAAGAGGTTTTTAGCAGGTGTGGGGCACACTGGGATTTCAGGGATGGTAAAGGGCAGCCTCCCTCAGGGTCTGTTTCTGTAAACAAAGTGTGACTGGACAGCTGCCCCCTTCTGTCTACATACCCTCTGCAGCAGCGGAGCCGGGTCAGAGACCGAAGGCCTGCAAAGTCAAAAACCTTCACTGAAAGGTTTGATGACCCGTTTTCGAGTGTTCCGCGTGTAGGTGATCCCCGTCCCTCACACCAGGTCCAACTTAACATCTATTTCTGTTTTCACCCAACCCCCATTGCCTCTGAGCCCCAGCACCCTGACTTGGGTGGCTGCAACCACCTCCTCATTGGCTTCTCTGCTCCTGCCCCCGGAAGTTGGATGGAGTCTCACTGTCAAGCTTCCGGGGCTCCCCAGTGCTTGGACATACTGCCCACCACAGCCCAGGCATGTGACCTCATTGCCGCTCCCCCTTCCCTCGCTGACCTCAGTGCCCTCCATCTGCCCCGCTCACCCTGACCCAGCCTCGCTGGCTTTGTCATGGCACCCCCAAACACACTGAGCACAATCCCCTCCCCGGGGCCCTTGCACCTGCTGGTACTTCTTCACGAAAAGCTTTTCCCATACTTTCCTGTAACTCAGATGGCCCTTCCTCAGAGAGGTCTTCCCTGCCCGGCCAAGGTCAGATAGCAGCACCCCCATCCCTGGACCTACTGCTCCTTCAGTCTTGCCGGCTGTGCCCCATGAAGATAAACACTTACACGCTTACTGCCTGGCTTCCCCACCAGGACATAAGCTCTGGGAGCACCAGGGTTTTGTCCCTTTGCGTCTCTGCCACATCCCCATGCGTCCTGCCTGCCACGTGGGTTTGGTCCCTGTGCGTCTCTGCCACATCCCCATGTGTCCAGCCTGCCACGTGGGTTTGGACCCTTTGCGTCTCTGCCACATCCCCATGCGCCCTGCCTGCCACGTGGGTTTGGTCCCTGTGCGTCTCTGCCACGTCCCCATGTGTCCAGCCTGCCACGTGGGTTTGGACCCTTTGCGTCTCTGCCGCATCCCCATGCGTCCAGCCTGCCACGTGGGTTTGGACCCTTTGCGTCTCTGCCGCATCCCCATGCGTCCAGCCTGCCACGTGGGTTTGGACCCTTTGCGTCTCTGCCGCATCCCCATGCGCCCTGCCTGCCACGTGGGTTTGGACCCTTTGCGTCTCTGCCGCATCCCCATGCGCCCTGCCTGCCACGTGGGTTTGGTCCCTTTGCGTCTCTGCCGCATCCCCATGCGCCCTGCCTGCCACGTGGGTTTGGTCCCTTTGCGTCTCTGCCACATCCCCATGTGTCCAGCCTGCCACGCGGGTTTGGTCCCTTTGCGTCTCTGCCACATCCCCATGCGCCCTGCCTGCCACGTGGGTTTGGTCCCTGTGCGTCTCTGCCACGTCCCCATGTGTCCAGCCTGCCACGTGGGTTTGGACCCTTTGCGTCTCTGCCACATCCCCATGCGTCCAGCCTGCCACGTGGGTTTGGACCCTTTGCGTCTCTGCCGCATCCCCATGCGCCCTGCCTGCCACGTGGGTTTGGTCCCTTTGCGTCTCTGCCGCATCCCCATGCGCCCTGCCTGCCACGTGGGTTTGGTCCCTTTGCGTCTCTGCCACATCCCCATGTGTCCAGCCTGCCACGCGGGTTTGGTCCCTTTGCGTCTCTGCCACATCCCCATGCGTCCAGCCTGTCACGTGGGTTTGGTCCCTGTGCGTCTCTGCCGCATCCCCATGCGCCCTGCCTGTCACGTGGGTTTGGTCCCCTTACGTCTCTGCCGCATCCCCATGCGCCCTGCCTGCCACGTGGGTTTGGTCCCCGTGCGTCTCTGCCACATCCCCATGCGTCCTGCCTGCCACGTGGGTTTGGTCCCCGTGCGTCTCTGCCACATCCCCATGCGCCCTGCCTGCCACGTGGGTTTGGTCCCCGTGCGTCTCTGCCACATCCCCATGCGCCCTGCCTGCCACGCGGGAGGCGCTCAGAAAACAGTAGGAAGGCAGGTGTCCAGAGGCGGGATCCCCAGAAACCAGAAAAGGCCGGGCACGTGGCAGGCAAGAGTGTGTGGTCACCACTAGCCATCAGCATCACCATGACCATGACCACCATCACCACCATCAGCATCACCACCACCACACGTCTGCCGTGGGATGTGGGGGCAGAGTTCAGCTTGACCACCGCCTCTGCCTGGCGTGGGCGCGGGGCGGCCGTCCCTTGCCCTGCTCTTCCCTCGGTGCCCTGGTCTGCCCAGTGGGCGGTCCGGTCCGGCCCGAGCCCGGCAGGCTGAGACGGAAGGGCCGGGCCGCCACCACTCCGGCGGTCACCATGGCTGCCGCTCTGCAGGCGGCCTTGGGCCTTCCTGCTCCTTGTCCGGACGCTGGTGGCCGGGGGTGTCCTCGGGACCCCGGACCCGACACAGCTGAGCTCGGAGGCCCTGCGTGGGCGCCGCGGCCGCAGGCTCGGGGGCGCCGGTGAGGCCGCTCCGCCCTGGGCCTTCACAGGTCCCCGTTCCCAGGCCGCTGCGGCCCGTTTGGTAGCTGAGGCCCGGAGGAGCGCGCCTGTCCCGGCTGCGGGGCGTCCGCCTCGCAGAAGGGGGAGGGGGGGCGAGTCACAGCGGAGGCCTGGAGCCGGAGGCCGCGCGCCGGTCGGGAGCGGCTGTGCCCTGACGCGGCCCGGGGACGCGTCCTCCTTCTTCCTCGGGCACCACGAGGGAGCCCAGCGCCCATTCCCCACGCGGGCAGACTGAGGCCCGGCGTCGTGACGCAGGCCTGGCTAGGGTCAGGGGTCACACAATGCACGGCCAGGCCTTCAAGGCCACACTGACTGGTCGCAGAGGCGACACGACACGGGACACAGGTCACAGGTCATTCGCAACACAAAATGGCGCCTCGAGGAAAAATGTAGATCGATCCCAGCGCCCACCCCCTCCGGGCTGAGGAGGAGGCGCGGGCGGCCCGCGCACAACTCATTTGCATATACAAAAAACGAACGAATTTCCTTGGCTGTGAGAGGCTCGGTCCGCACTAGGCAGGGCCCCCATTGGTTCCATTCCATTCCTTCCCGCCCCTTAGCTCCGCCTCTCCCTACAAGGATTGGCCCGTGCGAGTCTCGTGACGCTATCCCACGATTGCGCGTCTCTATTGGCCTGAGTACCGTCCATCAACCGTTTAAACCCCCCGGCGTCCCGCCTGCCCTCGCCCCGCCTGGGCACGCCGGCCGACCGTTAGTCGCGTGCGCGAGCTCCTGAACGTCAGGACCCGCGCGCGTACGCCGGGCTGGGGCGGTGTCTCATTCAAACGGACCAATCAGCGCTCGCGTCGCCTCTCGCGTTCTTTCCCCCCTCTTACTATCCCTTTTCACCTCCTCTCTATTCTGGGGCTCCCATTCCGATCCCCGCGTGTCCCTATTGGCCAGCCCGCCAGGCGCCCCCTCCCCAGCTTCCCCTGTTTCCGCTCGCAGCTCACAGAAAAGGGGCGAGCGCCTCGGACACCGAGGACCGTGCGCGCTGGCGTCACGGGTCGAATCGCGGCGCTCCGGGGCCGCGAGGGGGCGTTGCCTGTGGGCGGGTATAAAAGGGCGACGGTGCGCGCGCGGCCGGCTCAGTGCGGCCGGCACCCGGGGCGAGCGTACCTGCGGACGCAGTGCGCGGCGGTCGTTCGAGGCGGCTGGGAGCAGAGCGGAGCCGCCGGGGCCTCGCCAGGGCCGCAGCGGCAGCAGTTGGGCCCCCCGCCCCGGCCGGCGGCCCAGAGAACGCAGGAAGGGGGCCGGGGGGACCCGCCCCCGGCCGGCCGCAGTCATGGTGAGCGCCGCGGCCAGGCCCGGGAGGGCGGTGGGAGGCCCCCTGCAGGAGGAGGCGGGGTCTCCGGAGCTTTTCGCGGGCCGCTTAGGGGGTTGGAGGGCCCGCCTGGGTGTCCTGGGCTGGGGATGTGCCCACAGGCTTCCCAGTAGGCGGGGCAGGAGCCTGGGCGCCCGACAGGTTTCTTGGAGGGGGAGGCCCAGCGGAGCCCTGGGGCGATTTGGGGTGGGGGGGCTGTCGGGTCTTTGTGGGCCGCCTGTGGGTGTTCCGGGAGCAAGGACGCTCCGCCGCCATCTCCAGGCCCGAGCCGGAGTTTGCCGGGATTATTTTACCAAGACGAGGTGGGGAAGGGGACCAGGGTAGGCCTCGGCCTACCCGAGACCATTGGCGGCCCGTGCGGGGCTACTAGCGGGCTTTGGAGGCTCCTGGGGAAAGTGGAATCATCCGTAAGGCCCCTCCGAGACCTGCGGTCCTTTCTGGTGGGCTCTCGGCCAGGGACGGCCGCGTGCAGCCTCCTCGGTGGGGGTCTGCGAACCGGGGGGGTGGTTCACAGCCAGGGACTGCAGGGGCACCCCGGCTCTGCCGGTCACTCATCTCTTTCTCTTTCTGCCTAGAACTCCAACGTGGAGAACCTGCCCCCCCACATCATCCGCCTGGTGTACAAGGAGGTGACAACGCTGACCACAGACCCCCCTGATGGCATAAAGGTCTTTCCCAATGAAGAAGACCTCACTGACCTGCAGGTCACCATCGAGGGCCCTGGTGAGTGTGAGAGTGGAACAGAGAGAGGAGCCCATCCTAGATTCCTCATCTTTAGGACAAAAGTGGGAAGCCCCCTCATATTATACTTTGTTAACTGTTGGGGGCATGACGGGACAGGCACTCCTGTTACTCTCCCGGTGCTCAGTCTGCAGGGCAGGACACCACAGTTGACAACTAACTGTGATTACTGCTGTAATACTGCCTGTAGTGAGACAGTCCTGGTCGCCATGGGAGCGTTTGATGGGTACCTTACCTGGGGTTGGGACAAAGCTGTCCGACACTTTCCCTTGGACTTGAAGGGTCGATGGGAGTTCGGGGCTGGGGGGGGGGAGTGCCAGGCGGTGAGAGCAGCATCAGCAGTCTGGAGGGCTGGCTTGGCTGGGACCTGTCGCTGTTCTGCGGTCAGTGTCAGGGACACAGCACTGGGGAGTTAACAGAAACAACCAAGTGACTACACGTGATGGTTCCGCCGAGCAGTGATTTACCGCGTTGTTTTAGGTGCACTGTCTTTCCGCTATTAGTTCTCTTTTACACGGGAAGCCGAGGTGTTACAGGAGTGTGTGGTGAAGGGGACAGCCAGGAGTGGGGACAGTGGGGGGAGAGCAGGGAAGACTTCCTGAGTTGGTGACAGTTAAGGTCATTCCTGCTGCGCTGCATGAGGGGTTGGGGGCTGTAGGTGCTTAGTGGGAACAGAAAGAAGAAAAAGAACTGGTGAAGCTTTTAGGGGGCAGTTCTTTTAGGGCTTGTAGGCCTCTGCAGGGAGTGGGGAAAGGAAGTCGTTGGCTGGTTTAAAGCAGGTGTGACAGGTCCCTACAGAGCTCAGTGGGGGTAGGCGTGGTGGGGAATAGAAGCTGGAGGCCAGGCAACCACCGCTGGTACCAGGTGAGCGGTGAAGCATTTTTGCTGGACTGGGAGGATAGTGACAGTCAGCGGACCTGGGGGCTGGCTGTCCAGGCTGCTGGTGGGTCAGATGTGGGGACTGGGCCATGAGGAATGGCCATGGGTCTCAGTCGCACCTGCAGGTTTTTGACTGGGCCAGGTGGGTGAATGAACCATTGACTGAAGCCAGGCAAGACTTTGGAGATGGTAGAACTGTTCATTGTTGGCCCACAGGGCTTCCAAGTAGATGTTTTTCCAGGAAGACAAGTGTTTGCGCCTCTTGGGAAGGGAATGCAATCGGGGCCTTCACTTGGGAGAGCAGAGGTGTACAGGGTGGAGACTTGGAGGTCATACAAGTGCAGCCACAGTCGGGGCTGACTGAGGGGGTGCCCACAGCCCCCTGGGAACCTAGCCCAGTCCTGCTCTCCAGAACTCCCACTCTGATGGAGGAGGCAGCAGGGCACTTGTTCTGTAGCCAGAATGTGGAGACGGGACTTTGGGGTTGCGCTTGGTCCCTGAAAGTCCTGTGCTTCCTGACCTGGTCCCACCTCCCCACACTCTAGAGGGGACCCCTTATGCTGGAGGCCTGTTCCGCATGAAACTCCTGCTGGGGAAGGACTTTCCTGCCTCCCCGCCCAAGGGCTACTTCCTGACCAAGATCTTCCATCCGAATGTGGGCGCCAACGGTGAGATCTGCGTCAACGTGCTCAAGAGGGACTGGACGGCTGAGCTGGGCATCCGGCATGTGCTGCTGGTGAGTCCTGGGCTCCATGGTGATGTCCGAGCATTGTTTGTTTTTCAAAGTCATCCCTGAAGTAGTTGAGGGCTTCCACCTAACAACCCAGGTCTCTAGTTTTTCTGGGAAACTTGGGAGGAGTTGGCACTGCTAGGTGGGCCCAGCACCCTGAGTATGGTCGGTGGTACAGGTTGCTCAGTGCCTGGGGCACCTCTGCTGTGGAACAAGCGGTGGTGAGGGACTGGGACGCTTATTTTGCCTCAGGATGTGAAACTCCCAGTTCGAAAGCATACAGTTGGCTGGTTTTCCAGTAGTCGTGACCCTGTAGTTCTAGAGTGTTCTTTTAAACCACTGTTGGCGCCCTGGATTGCACTATGCTGAGGTCCCCACTGGCCACTTAAAGCATTTAGGTCCTACTGCCTCCCCGCCCCCTCAAAGCTTAAAAAGTGTTGTTGTTTTTTGAAATCTGAATTTCTAATGATCCCCTGGGGCAGGTGGTTGGGAGGACAGACAATTGGAGATTGGGGTTTCCTGGCAGGGGGTAAGGATTGAGCTCCAGGTAAACAGACCTCCCCCCTTTCCCTCCTCCCTAGAGTGTCAGTGGTGGTTGTCAGGGGACACCCACACTGGAGACAAGCTCACAGTACTTCCAAGTGTCCTGATGAATCCCAGGGGCCTTGGAGCTCCGCCTGTGTGAGGCTTAGCTGTGAGGGAGCCACAAGAACAGCCTCTGGTTATGGGGTGCAGTGGTCAGAATTAGGGTCAGTCCCGGGTCCCTGCTCATCATTAGTGATGTCTGCTGGACCAGACAGGTCATGTCATCTGCCCGAGGCCAGGCACGTTCTAGGGTGTGGTGGGTTGGTTTCCTTTTAGAATGAGGTGGAAGCAGGGCCCCTTTCCATCCTGGGGCCTTTCCCAGGTGTGGTCCTACCCAGCCAGTCTGTGGCTCCTCACTTGGGATTCCTGTTACAGCCAGTGACGGCCCTGGGTTTAGGAATCTTTCTCTGGTTTTGTGAAAGGAGCTTTGGAGTCCAGCAGGCCCAGGTGTGGGTCCTAAATTGTCCCCTTCATCTCCTGAGTGACCGTGGGGAAGTTCCTTCCCTCGATCACTAGTCATATAGGGTCAGACCCCTCTGATCCAGGGCTCTCTCCCCACAGACCATCAAGTGCCTGCTGATCCACCCCAACCCCGAGTCTGCCCTCAACGAGGAGGCCGGCCGCCTGCTCTTGGAGAACTACGAGGAATACGCGGCCCGCGCCCGCCTGCTCACGGAGATCCATGGGGGTGCTGGTGGGCCCAGCGGTGGGAGGCCTGAGGCCAGCCGGTCCCTGGCCAGTGCAGCCTCGGCCTCCTCCACTGACCCTGTGGCACCTGGGGGCCCAGGAGGGGCTGAGGGGCCTATGGCCAAGAAGCATGCAGGTGAGCGCAACAAGAAGCTGGCGGCCAAGAAGAAGACGGACAAGAAGCGGGCTCTGCGGCGGCTGTAGTGGGCTCTTCCCTCCCCACACCTGCCCGACCCTCAACTCTGTCTCTAAGTTATTTAAGTTATGGCTGGGGTGGGGGAGGGTGTGGGGCACTGGGACCTGGATTTGTTTTTCTAAATAAAGTTGGAAAAGCAAGCAACTGCTGTGCCTCTTAGTGCCTGAGGACCAGCCTGCCTGGAGCTGTGGGGGGTGGGGCTTGGAGCAGTTGGCACCCCACCCTCAAGTCCTCTGCACTGGGTCCCTCAGCTCAGCAGGACTCCTGAGTAAGCTCTGGGGCTGACTCTGTTTTGTGGCCCTGGGGGTAGTCACAGTCCCTCAAATCAGATTTCCCATCTAAAATGGGGTGAAGGGAAGGAGCTTGGGGCATGCCCAGCCAGGTGACAGATGCAAGGCACGTGCTGTTGACAACCAATTGATGTCTCTTTCCCTCCCACTCTCTAAAAAAATCAACAGGAAAAACATCCTTGGGTGAAGATTAACAAAAAAAGATCATAAAATGAAAATAGGAAAATATCTACCCAGGGGCTTGTACGTGAATTTTCACAGTTGTTGCCTTTGTAATAGGCAAAAACTGGGAATGACCCAAATGTTCACCAGATGAATGAGCAAAAGAATTGTGAATTCATGTGGTGAAATCACTCAGCAAAATACTGATAAAACAGGGATGGATCTCAAAAATATTACATGCTGAGTGAAGCCTTACAGAAAGAAGTGTTAAGTTTTCTATCCCATTTCTATGAAATTCTAGAACAGGGCAAATGAATCACTCTGCTGAAAGCAGATGAATGGTGGTCTGGAACCAGTGAGGATCTAAAGGGAATAGGAAGTTTTGGGGTGATGAGTATATTCTGGGTCTTCATTGTCACATGGGTGTGTAAATTTGTCAATACTTAAACCATATACTTAAAACAGGTGTACTTTGTGTAAAGTGTATTTCAAGTCACCCTAGCTGGCTTGGCCCAGCAGTTGGAGGGTTGGCCCACAGACCAGTCTTGGGTTCGATTTCAGTCAAGGGCACTCACCTCGGTTGCAGTTTGGTCCCCGGCCCTGGTCTGGGCCATTGGAGACAATAGGTCAATGTGTGTCTCTCTCCTTCCCTCCCATTCTATCTGAAGATAAATGGAAAAAGATCCTCAGGTGAGGATTTCTTTAAAAGTGTTTCAAGTCAGTATTTTTAAGTCAAGAACTGTTTATAGAGTGAAAGGCCAGACAGTGGGACAAGATAGTTGCAAGTCTTGTAATTCAAATGGACTAATCCAAAGAAGACATGCCCCTCCTGGCCAGTTTGGCTCGGCGATGAGAGCCTTGGCCCATGGACCAGAGTACCAGGTTCACTTCCTGCTAAGGGCATGTACCTCGGTTGTGGTTTGTCCCCGGCCCCGGATGGGGTCCTGCGGGTGGTAACCAGTCTATGTGTGTCTCACATAGATGTCTCTCTCTCTTCCTCCCCTCTATCTGAAGATAAATGCAAAAAAATATCCTTGAGTGAGGATTAAAAACAAAACAAAAAAAAAGACGGTGCCCTGGCCAGATTGTTCATTTGGTTAGAATGTCATCCCAACACACCAAGGTTTTGGTTTGCTCCCAGGTCAGGGCACATACAAGAGTCAACCAATAAATGCATAAATAAGTGGAACAATTTCTGGATGTTTCTCTAAAAAGTATATTCTTCTAAGCAATTGGCAGGGTCCTGGATGCAGCAAGTCACTTGCTTTTTCGACCTATCCGAAGTCTACCCCCCCTGAACTCTAACCCTTCCTGGCTCCAGACTGCCTGGCATCCATCAGAGGTGTGTCCTACAGGTGTGCCATCCTTGTATCACACGTCCTGGGCCCACAGACTGCGCTGGAATGTGTAACCTGGGAAAGGGTGCTGGGCGGTAAGTTTGGGGTGGGCCTTCTCAGCACTGCCAGGGGTCTTCCTCAGGTATGGGAACTATGGGAGGGTTCTGAGCAAGGCTAGAGATTACTTCGAGTCCAGGCTAGACAAAGGGTTTGGCAAGAAGTGGTCAGGGTCACATCCATTAACTGGGGAAGGCTGGAGGGGTTGGAGGTGGGTGTTAGGAGATTTGTATTTGACTATGTGGAATCAGCCCCTGGCCCCTGACCCCAGCACAGATCCTCAGAGCTTTTGCCCTTGAGCACAAAGCTGTGAAGTGGGGACCAGGAGCAGGGTTCTCATCTCTGCACAGGGTGCCCAGAAGGGCAGGGGTGGGGTGGCCTGGTGGCTGGCACAGGGCAGGTATGAAGGAACCTTGCCAGGACCTCTACAAGCCAGATTCTACATCTGCTTTGGGGGCTATCTGGGGTACTTGGACACACACACACTGAGAATAGAGACTAGGTTCAGCTTCTCATAGGGCTCATGTTCCCCACTAACTTAATTATGGAGCCCTTGCTGTGTGCAGGCTATCTTCTCAGCTCTGAGTGTTCATTATCGCCCTGAATTTTGACAACAGATGCACACAGAGAGGTCTAGTTATTTGCCTGAGGCCACACAGCTAGTGGCTGAGGTGGTGGTTGACCACCTGTTATCACAGGTTGTGATAAACACCAAGAGGCTGGAGGCAGGCAGACAAGGGTGAGAAGAGAGGGGTGAAGCCCAGGAGAACCTTCTTTAGATGGACTATCAGGGGAAGACCCAACACCCTGAATAAGAGGCAGCCTCTGGAAATGGGGATGTCACAGGCAGCAGGGTGGGGTGGAGTGGGAAGAGCTGAGGTGGGGCCGGAGAAGCAGGGCCAAACCCCCACAGGGACTGCAGGTATCAGGATGGCTGGTCCCCCAGGGGCCTCCGAAGTAAGACTAGGGATCACTTGCAACAGCCTGAGGCTAGACAGATGGAGTGTGAGCACTCCCAGTCAGGAGGTAGAAAGTTGACTGGCCAGGTCCTTAGACAAAAACAGGCTGTTGAATGAGTGAGGACTCAAGATGCATGGCCTCTCCTTTTCAGGCAGTCAGAGACGGGGACTCTTGAGCCCAGAATCAGCAGCCACTGCACAATGGGGCCCCAGGTCTGTCCCCATCCCACAAGTCCTATGGCATTCCTCACTTAACTTCTATGAGGTTCCTGGAGGAGCTGTGATCCACCCCAGAACCACAGCAGGGCAGGCTAGCCTATGGTCTTCAGAAGAGCCATTTCTGAGGAGCAAGTTCAGGACAGAAGTTCCCATCATAAGTATAAACAGACAGGGTCTGCAGACAAACAAGGACCCAGATGGTAATCACTTCTGCCTTGGCAGGCCACAGACACGGCTGGAGCAGAGGTGTAGTAAGCGGATCTGACCCATACCCAGCGTGCTGACCTCAGTCGTAGATCCCCACCCCTCTGGAAATTTACTGTAAATGTTCATGGCTCAAAAATTGTCACTTAAGCCCAGCCAGTGTGGCTCAGTTGGTAGAGCACCGTCCCATCAACAGGGAGATCGCAGTTTAATTCCTGGTCAGGGCACAGGGCTAGAGTCCTTTTGGGGGAGGGGGGGCGCAGGGGACAGGAGGCAGCCCATCAATGTTTCTGTCTCTCCCTGCCCCCTTCTCTCTAAAAAAAAAAAAAAAGTCAACAGAACATACTAAAGAAAAAAGCTTCGGAATTTTTTTAATTTCAAGTTGTCACTTTCTAGCAGCGTGGGATTCTGAGGATTCCAGAGGACTTTACTTATTCAATCTGAACTTTCTCATTTGTCTCGCTGTGGTCATCTGATGCACCGAATGTAGAAATTCACACCAACCCCCAGCCACCCCCCAGAACGGACACCACCAAACCACCTGCACCTGGTCCCTCCAGTCCTAACACTGTGACCTGTTTGGTACAAGCTGACAGTTCTGGTGACATGGCCTGGGTCACACACACAGGAGGCCTAGGAGAGGTGGCTGAGCAAAGTTGGCCAATACCTTTATTGCTTTGGGGGGAAGGGGTGTGCTCAGGAGCTCTTGGTGGGGCGGGCCCGCTTTCTCTTCACCATCACAGGCTTCTGGCTGCGCAGGATGGCACTGGCCCTGCGGATGGCAGCCATGCGCAGATCCGGGCGGTACTTGTTCTTGCGGATCATATGCCGGATGCTGCTCAGGGTGGCCCGGGCATTCTTGTTGATGGTGGTCCGCACGTAGGAGGTGGCCGGCTTTCGCTGGCCTGGCGGGGGAGAAGGAGGCTCCCAAGGTTAGTAAGATGGTTTCAGCCTTTAAGGTACCCTCAATGTGTGAGCCCCTGGGCAGGCAGCCAGCCCCGTCTCCACAAACAGATTTGCGGGACACTCACGGTGACCACTGTACAGGTATCTCCTCATCACTGTGTCGGAAACACAGTAATCACCATGCCTAAGGGTGCACTTTATGAGGGTGGGTACTCTGCTGGATGGAGGGGGGGGAGTCAAAGGGCTGCTTCCAACCCAGCCTGTCACTTCCTCAAGTGGGAGCTAGGGGGAGGCAGGCTCACCTCTTTGCCTAAAACATCCCAACAGCAGCAGACGGAGACATCCTCCTCCATCTGGGCTGTTTGAAGGAATTACCCTTAAATCATCAGCTCCCCTGTAATTAATACTAACCACCACCACCACCACCACCACCACCACACACCATTCAGGTCTTATTAATTTCTCCACTTTACAGATAACAAAACAGGTTCCAAAGACCCGGCCAGCTCCACAAGAGAGGGGGGAGGCCAGTAGGGGAACAGTTTCCAAGAGGAACATCCGGACCCCAGGAATCCTCAGTTCCTGGCAGAATTACTCCTGTTGCCCAACACGGCGCAAACCACAGCTCCCTGCCCCGACCGGGGCCCGCAGCCCGGGCCAAGCCGGTGGAAACGCTCACCGGATCTGCGCTTCATGACGACCACCACCCCCTTGCCGTCGGCCGCCGGCTCCACGCCCACCGTCTTGCGGTGAATCAGCCCGTTGTAGCGAAAGGAGTTGCGGGCCTTCAGGTTATTGGGTTCCTGGAAAGGAGGGCGCATGGGGGTCGTGGGGAGGAACGGGGCCCGGCGACCGCAAAGGGGCCCCCCTCCGACCCGGGGGACCCCCACTCACGGTGCTGTACGTCTGCTTGTTCCTCTTGATCAGGAAGCTGGAGCAGTTCCGTACGACCATCCACTGCAGATGGGCAGACATGGCGGCAGCTGCGGGGAAACGGGCACGCGGAGGGGTCACAGGGGGCCGCACGCCGACCCCGGGACCCCACCAGGACAGCAGAGGGGGGACCTGGCGGAGGCGGGCAACCGGAGGGTGCCGAGAACTCTGCCCGACGGCGCTGGGCGACCTAAGGCCGCGGGGCTGAACTCAGGCGCCAAGACGACCCGCGAGGGAGACCGTGCGAGTCCGCGGCGCCTTCGGGCGGTGGGGCCGAGGGGAAGCCGAGGACGTGAGGGACGTCATGAGAATGGCCAGCGGGGGACAGACATGGGGCGGTGGGGGGCAAAACGCGGCCACGCGGGCGGGTGGAAGGCCTCAGCTCACCTCCTCGCGAGGCCGCAGCCGGAGACAGAAAGAGGCACGCAAGGGGCGGGGCGACGTCTTTAATAGCGATACGCATTTCCGCTTCCTCTGGGCGCGCCTTCGTTTCCAAACCCCGCCTCCGGGGCTGCTCGGCAACGTTCGGCTATTTCCGCCGGTCCGTCGCACACCGCTCGGGACCCTTCGGCACTCTTCGGCTAGAGACCCGAGGGCGTGTTCTCGGACGCGGAGCTATACCGTTCTAGGGCCCTTCGTGTGTTTCCGGAACTCTAGGACTGGATTCCCAACTGGGAACAGCTGGAGAGGCCTCAGGTCCCTTTCCACAGAGGCCTCTCCCCAGGATTGCTCGCCCAGCGCTTGACATAGGATGGGCACTCAGTAGACATCTGCTTTAGGATTTATGTTCATGAATGAACATGTGAGTGCTTGGACTATTTAAGCCCAACCCGGGAGTCCTCGCTGCTTCCGGTTTTCTTCCCAAGTCTTCGGCTATTGCCGAGGAAGCATCGCTCGGGCATCTTCGGCACTCTCCGGAAACGCCCTTCCGAGAGGGTGGCCGCCTTTCTTATTGGCTCGTGCCAGGTTCGGGTCTGTTCGGAAACACTCGGGCCTAATCGGCCACGTTGGGCGCCCGTCGGAATTGTGGCTGCCCTCTCTTGAGGGTCCTCTTAAAACAAATCATTAAGTGTTGGGTCTCGAGAGAAGCTAGACCTTACTTCTCGCAGACTGCCACCCAGAGGAGCGTGGGTTTCCTCTAAGGGCGAGTTGTTTGGAGAAAAAGAGATGTGCCTGGAAAAGCCCTTGGCTCGTTCCTTAGGGGTTCCATACCCGTCCGCTCAGCCCCCTCCCCATGCCTCCCTGCCTCCGTTCCCATTCTCCCTTGGGGTCCGCCAGGTCCCACCCGTCAAACTTCCTGGAAGTCCATTTTCTGTTCATTTCTACCTTGTTTGTTTTCAGTGTCATCTTTGGGGACAGGAGCCTTGCTTGAAGTACCTGAGTCCCCAGCCTCACCAGCACAGGACCTGGCGGGACCCCCTACTGAACAAAAGCAATACCAATGCCTTTGGCACCTCCGTCAGAGCACCATGAACCTGACGGTGGGGTCAGAGTCCTGCGAACGAACGGTCCACCTTTGTGCCTTCTGCACTTTCGCTGGGAGGTGGCATCCCGGAGGCTCCAGGGGACGACAGGCAATGAGTGAGCGGAAACCGCATTTCTGCAGAGCCCAGGTCCCAGAAGTCTTTGGAATCGAGGGCCTTGTCTGATCCTTGTTTTGGACACCACGTGCCCTCACCGTGGGTGCATTAGAAGACCCCTGGAGGCGGGCTCGGCAGCACAAGGCCCAGGCTTCCACAGCGCCCTTCCCCGCCCTGCCTCCATTAGGGCGTCCTGAATGTTGACCACATGTTGCTTCCGCTCCTTGGGGTGCAGGGCCCCTGGACCAACCTGATGCCTCAACCCCAGGCCCTGCACGGAAACCCGGGCCAGGGACCGTTTGCAGCTTCCCAGCTCAGATGACCTGGCGGCCGCGGGGCACACCTGGCGCCGTCCCCGACCCCGCCCCTGGCCGGGCGGCACCCGGAAAACTCCCGGTCGGAACCGGCGCAGCGAAGCATGGCCATGGCGGCGGCGCCAGCGGTGTGCGCCTCGCAGGGTCCCCCGCCGGGCGCACCGTCCCCGCCCGCCGCGGCGCCCGCGCCCGCGTCGGGCCTGGGCCGCTGCCGGATGGCGCTGCTGCTGGCCGTGGCGCTGGACGTGGCGGGCATGGCGGCGCTGCTGACCGGCGTGTTCGCGCAGCTGCAGGTCCGCGGCCGCGATTTCGGAGACCTGCTCATCTACTCCGGGGCGCTGCTCGTCTTCCTGAGCCTGCTGGGCTGGATCCTCTGGTACACCGGCAACATTGAGATCTCACGCCAGGAGCTCGAGCGCGACTACGGCCTGCGGCCCTCGGCGCTCGCCCGCCTGGCGCGCAAGCTCTCCCGCCGCTGGTCGGCGCCCGCCTCCGCCGCCGCCGGCCGGCGCGCCGGGTCCCGGGGAGCGCGCCGTGCCACCCGCGCGCCCCAGCCGCCCAACGCCGGCTCCCGCCGCGTGCGCCTGCAGCTCGCCACGCTCGAGGCCGCGCCCGGGGCGGCGGGCGCCGGCCCCGAGTGAGCCCGAGGTGAGGGGCCGGAAGGCGGGGCGGGGAGAGACGGAGGGGCAGCTGGAGAGTTGGAGGCACCGAAGGGAGGGACTGTGGGAGAGAGACGGGACCAGAGGGAGAGATGGAGGGACCGAGGGATGAGAGGGAGGGACAAAGGGAAGGGAGGGAGGGACTTCGGGTGAGATGGAATCCGAGAGACACGGGGTAAGATGGAGAAATAAAGACTGAGAGACAATGGATCGAGAGAGACACAGGACCAGATCAAGATGGCAAAACAGAGAAGCAGAGTAGCAGAGACCCAAAGGGTGGAGAGAGAGAGCAGGCAAGAGTGCAGACTTGAGAAACACAAATGAGACCTGCTCCTCCCCTCCCCAGGAGATGAGGGACAGTCACTGTTAGCTTGGAGGTCCCTCCCTGCACTCCAGCTCCAAGGTGCATCAGGTCCCATTTAATCCTCAGTATTACTGGGTCTCCGAGGTCACTCCTCTTACCAGCCCCATCCCAGTGGAGGACACTGAGGCCCCAAAAGCTGCCAACTCTTGCACCTGTGATTCTCCTGACAAAATGTCTCAAGTTCTCTCTCATCAATGTTTCCATCTCTCTCTACCTCTCCCTTCCTCTCTCTCTCTCTCTCTCTCTCTCTCAAATCAATAAAGAAGAAAAAAAAATTTTTTTAAGTGTCTAAAGAGAGAGGGGGGTAAGAGTGGGAATGACCAACCTAGCCCAGAGAGTGATGGTGACACAAAGACACGGGGAAGACGCCTCCCCTCCCCTTTATCCCTCCTCTACCTTCTATTCCCTTTCCTAAACACACACTCTTCAGCACGCACTTCTCTGCTCCAAAACCTGCTGTGGTTCCCCTTTGCCCTCTGGTTAAACTCATGCCACGCACTGATATGTGGGCCCGCCCTGTCCCAGCACCGTCTCCTGCCTTCTCTGCGGTCATGATGACGTCCCTCAGACCAAGGACAGCCAGGCTCTCACACCATTCGGCCTCTGTTCATGCTCTCCCTACAGCAGGAGTGCTATTGCTGCCTCTACTCCACAGAAAACTCCACATGTGTCCTTTAAGGCCCAACTCAACTCCGCTGCCTTTCTCTGGGTCTTCATATTGTGAGTTACCCATTATTGCTTGTATCATCACGTGTTGTGTCTGTGTGTGCTGGTACTGTCTCTCCCACCCAACAGGGAGCCCCTTAAGGGTGAGGCCTGGGTCTCTGGTGTCTGTGTTCTTAGCACTTCCCAGCAAAAAAGTGAACCCAAGAAATAAGAAGTTGATGTTGACCCAAGTGGATGGATGGATGGGTAGACAAATGGATAGCTGGCTGGATGTATTGGTGGGTGGGTGGAATGATAGGTGGATAGACAGAGAGATGAATAGATTAGTTGATGGATACATGGATGGACAAATGGTTAGATGTATTAGTTGATGGATGGATGGATAAATGGATAGTTGGATGGATGAGTGAATGGATGGGTTGGTGAATGGATTAGGTTGGTTGATGAGTGGACGTGGTTGGATGGATGGATGGATGGATGGATGAATTTGGTTGACGGATGTGTGGATGGATGGATACGATTGTATTGGTGGATGGGTAGATGGGTGAATGGGTGGGTGGCTGGGGGGTAGTTTGGGCAGATGGGAAGGTACATGGATGCGTGGATGGTTGGGTTTGTTAATGCGTGAATGGATAGGTTGAACAAATTGCGTGCCTGAATGAGTGCCTGAATCAGTTTCTTGAATGGAGATTCCATAAAGCAATTAAACCCTAATGTCCTAAGACATTGTTTATATGTGATGAATTAACTTTTCTTGTGTACATCCAGAATGATACTAGTCATGTACCCTTCTCTGTGAGAACTGAGAAAATACTCCAGTCATACTCTCTGTTCTGTGGTTCAGGTACGGAGACCATTTCTAGAGAGGTTCAACAGCTGTATAATAGGTGAAGCATGAGCTAACACAAAATTTGACATATAATGCAGAAATAGCTACCTGTGGTTAGAGTTACCCCTGAAAACCCTTTACCATGCCCAGAAGTTTCACACAACTGGGTGGACCTCCACTGCTGGAACCACCTGCCAGAAACTGGCCTAACTGACTATAACGCAGGCCCCTGTTAGAAGGAATCAGTGGATGTGGTTGGATAGATATATGGGTGGTAGACGGATGGAAGTATGGATGGATAGATGGGCGGTTGGGTGGGTGGGTGGATGGAAGTATGGATGGTGGGTGGATGGATAGATGGAAGGATGGGTGGGTGGATGGATGGATGGTGGGTGAATAGATGGGTGGATGGATGGGTGGATGGATGGGTGGATGGATTGAAGGATGGAAGTATGGATGGTGGGTGGATGGATAGATGGAAGGATGGGTGGATGGATGGATGGATGGTGGGTGAATAGATGGGTGGATGGATGGGTGGATGGGTGGATGGATGGGTGGATGGAAGGATGGATTGAAGGATGGAAGTATGGATGATGGGTGGATGGATGGATAGATGGATAGAATCCAGACACAGAACTCCTCAATTAAAAGGGTGAGGTGCTCCTAGCACATAAAAGACAGAGAACTTGAATTTTTTTTTTTATCCTCACCAGAGGACACTTTTTTCTTTGCATTTATCTTCAAATAGAGAAGGAGGAAGTGAGAGAGAGAGACATCCATGTGAGAGAGACACATCGAGTGGCTGCCACCCACACAACCCCAGCCGGGGCCTGGGACTAACTGCAACCAAGGTACACGCCCTTAGCGGGAACCGAACCCGGGTCTCTCCGGACCGCAGGTTGACACTTTAACTGCTGAGTCAAAGCGGCCAGGGTGAGAACTTGAATTTTAATGGAGGGACCCATAGGTGCTGGTTCCAGTGCCTTCTCTCCCACTCTGGGACCCAAATTAGTTGAGTGGCCATGCAAACCCCCACACACACTTTGTCATTTGTCCCCTCTGTCTTTCTCAGTCTCTTCCTACCTGTCTCTGTCTCTCTGTCTCTGTGTCTCGTGTCTCTGTTTCAGTCCCTCTCCCTGTGTCCTGTGTCTCCTCTTGTCTCTGCGCCTGTCTCTCCTGGTCTCTCCTTCCCTACCTGGACAGTTGTGCTCCAGTGAGTTGAAGTCACGTGCCCACTGCGGCAAATCAGGGATGAAGAGCCAGTGGGCAAGTGTATGTCAGTGGGGGGGGGGGGGCTGAAGCAGGTTTAAAGGGTTTCCCCTGTGTCCCTCAGGCCACTGGGTGGTGGCAGGGAACACACAAACATGAGGTCCCCAGCAGCCACTAACACCACCCTCCCTCCTGCAGGCAAACCCATGGATTCATCTGTCAGGACCCGACTGAGGTGTGTAGCTGCCCCCAACATCATGCGGCTACCGGGATGCCTACCTGTGCTCCTTTGACACCTGCATAAAGGACTGCCTTCCAGCTCTGCTTGTCTGTCTGGGAGAGGGACATCCTGGGGCAGGGGTGCCGGAGGGGGGGCGCTGAGTACACTAAGTCACATTCAGGGGCGCTGGAGGACCCCAGAGCCCCTGGGGACACAGGAGCCCCGCCTCACCAGGATCTCCAGCCCAGACCAGCCCTTTCAGCCTAGACCGCCCTCTGCCCAGGCCCTCTGCTACTTTGGGGGGCCCTCTGAGAAGCAGACTGAGGGACAAATTAGATTTGCAAGATGTTTACTGGGGGGCGGAACTAATGGAGGGGAAGTTGGAGTCGGTCTGGCCTGGAGCCGAGAGAAGAGAGGGGAAGGAAGGAGGGTCAGGGACTTGAACACACTTCCGAGAAAATTTCCACCGGGCCACTGGGGTGTGTGAGGGAGCTGAGGTTGTCTGCTGGGGGAGGCTCCATTTCTGCAGGGACACCCACTGTGCTCAGAGAAGCCTGGGAAATGTGGGGGTCGGGGTGGGGGCACTTGGTACCGTGGCAGGTAGCAGAGGCTGTAAGGCAGTGGCACTTCCTGCAGGACAAGTGCTGGGGGTACAGCCCCCTGGCTCTGTGATGCCCTCCAGCCCCTTCAGGCCACCTTCAGCTCCCTTATTTCAGAGCCCCCCTCCCCCGCCGCCACCCTGCGATCACAGCCCAGGCCTCCCAATCAGCCTGGAGTCCCCCATCAGTGCAGGTCCCCTCAGCGCACATCCTCCCCACTTATCTCAGACTCCTAATTCAATACCCACTCAGTTCGTACCCCCATGATCACCGCCAAGCCCGCACACACACACACACACACACACACACTCCCTGCCTCCAGGTCTCCTCTACCTCCATCTCCTGTGGCTCTTGGAAAAGAGATGACATGTCCATATGCTACATCTTTATTGAGGGGTGCCCCCAGGGGCACGCCTACTCGTCCTCGCCTCCTTCTTCCCCTTCGCCACCCCTGGTGGACACGCTGCCCATGGACGTTTTTTTCTTGGATGATACAGACACTGTTCCCGACGACGGCTGGCATTTGCCCTGCAGAAACCCCTGGATTTGCCGCATGTCCCGGCTCTTGATCCACCTGCGGGGAGGGAACCCGCTCAGCCTTAGCCCGTCTCCCTGCTCCTTGGCGCAGGGAGCCCGCCCAAACCCCAGCCCCACTCACCAGTACAAGAAGATGCTGAAGATCACAAAGAGAAGGCCTGCGCACGTCCAGCTCAGCGCCCACAGGTGTTTGATCCGCATGTTTTCTGGGCAAAGGTCGGGCCTTTGAGACCCAGCGGTCCTGGCTGCCAGCCTTCTCCCTAGTGACCCCTTGTTCTAGGCACTCACCGTCTGGCCGCTGGTGGTAGCAGACCCCGTCTTGGTAGCAGCATCGTAGCCGTAGACATAGATTGGGGTTCTCGGTGGCCGCCTGGCCCCCACAACTCTCCCGGTTCCATGTGTCTCCTTCACAGCCTGGGGGCCGACCACCAGTGGTGGCTATGTCTCAGAGCCTGGTCCAGGGGCCATGGAGCAGGAGAACTCTAAGGCCAGGCTCCCCAGACTCACTGCCTAGAGCTTGTTCTGTATGGATCCAGGAGTGGAGGCCCCCAGCCCCTCCCTCAGACCCAGGAGTCCGGGCCCCCAGCCCTCCTCCCTCAGACCCAGGAGTCCGGGCCCCCAGCCCCTCCTCCCTCAGACCCAGGAGTCCGGGTCCCCAGCCTTCCTCACTCTCAGGAGTCCTGACCACCAGATCCTTCTCCCTCGGACACAGGATTAGACCCCAGCCCCTCCCTCAGAGCCAGGACCAGACTCCCAGCTTCTCCTCCCTCGGACCCAGGAGTCGGCCCCCATCCCTCGGAATCCAGGATTCATCCACCACTCACTCCATGGATAGAAGAATCCCTGGATTCCATTCCCATCTGTGAAGGAAAATAAAGAGTGTCAGGTGCTGTGTGGAAGCTGAGGAGGCCCCCTGCTCAGCCCTCTGACCCTCTCTCTGGGCCCCTCACCTGCTGAGCCTTGCATCAGCAGGAAGAGGCTCAAAGCTTGGACCCCATAGCCCACCATGTCTCCTCCCCGGCCCCAGGGTTCTAAGTTCTGTTGCTAGGGAGCCCCTTACAATGGGGAAGAAGGAAGGGTGTCACACTGGCCTGGTCATGCCTGCCCGCTAGAGTCGCTTTCTTAACCAGGTAGAAGGGGCTTTGGGGTGGGGTGGGGGTCTGGCTAGAAGAGCCTCCTCAGCGAACTGTGTGGAAAATGTGTGGGGGTCTAAGGCCTCTCCTTACCTACCAGGGGGCCTGAGGGGTAGATCCAGGAGCCGACCTGTTAGTACCTGAGGCCTGCAACCAGCTCCAGGCGACCCAAAGTCTCCTGAGACCTCGTTGCCAGGGGTCTTTCCCCTAGCGACCAGGGGACCCAGGAGGGCAAAGAGTCAGTGGGTTCCGAAACTTGCTCAGGAGTCCCCAGGTCTCAGGCACTGCAGGTCCCCCCCCCCCCAACCATGAGAATGTTAGCAGAGTGGTTTGGCCACGTCTGTCGCCTGTGGAGTAGACCTCAGGGTCCAGGGGTGAGGGTAACTTGTGGGCAGAGAGACGCTTTGCCCACCGAGGCCTGACTCCCCACCTGCAAACAAGAAAGGGGTCTGGTGGAAGGTCCTCAAATCCCTGGTTTGGTCTCCCCGAGTGGCAGGGGCAGAGGCCAACCCCACTGAACCTTCATTCTACTCTAGCAGAGTGAGGAGGGGGCTCAGCTCTCCTGGGGCAGCGAGTCTTGAGTCCAGAGTCAGGGTTAGGGGACCAGAGGGCTGGGACACTTGGGTCTGAGGGAGGAGGGGTTGGGGACCTGGACTCTTGGGTCTGAGGGAGGAGGGGCTGGGGGCCTGGACTCCTGGGTCTGAGGGAGGAGGGCTGGGGACCTGTGCTCCTGGGTCTGAGGGAGGAGGGGCTGGGGGCCTGGACTCCTGGGTCTGAGGGAGGAGGGGATGGGGACCTGGACTCCTGGGTCTGAGGGAGGAGGGGCTGGGGACCTGGACTCTTGGGTCTGAGGGAGGAGGGCTGGGGACCTGGACCCCTGGGTCTGAGGGAGGAGGGGCTGGGGACCTGGACTCCTGGGTCTGAGGGAGGAGGGGCTGGGGACCTGGACTCTTGGGTCTGAGGGAGGAGGGCTGGGGACCTGGACTCCTGGGTCTGAGGGAGGAGGGGATGGGGACCTGGACTCCTGGGTCTGAGGGAGGAGGGCTGGGACCTGGGCTCCTGGGTCTGAAGGAGGAGGGGCTGGGGGCCTGGACTCCTGGGTCTGAGGGAGGAGGGGCTGGGGGCCTGGACTCCTGGGTCTGAGGGAGGAGGGGATGGGGGCCTGGACCCCTGGGTCTGAGGGAGGAGGGGCTGGGGCCTGGGCTCCTGGGTCTGAGGGAGGAGGAAGATGGGGGCCAGGGACTGGGTCTGAGGGCGACTGTCCAGGAATCCAGACCCCATTTCTCGGGAAACCCCGTGAGGCTGACTCTACTGTCATCTATAAACATCCTGGTGGGTGCTGACTGGGCCCGGGGCACCGCCGTCAGAGATGACACAGGTCAGAGGGGGCTCGGCAGGGGGCCGGGGGTGGGGGTCAGAGGGGTGGTGGGGCTGAGGCCAGGCAGCTGCTGACCGTTTCCTGTGTCAACATCATCTGGACCCACTTCCAATTCCCGGGATTCCTCAGGGATCAAGGAGGGGGTGGGGGGCGGGGCTGCCGGGCCCTGGACCGCGGCTTGGGACTGGGGGGGCCCCACCGTCATGGCCCTCACCGCTAATGACAGGTTTGGGCTGCCTTTGCGGCCCGCCTGCCCCGTCACCCCCCAGAGGCCAGACAGGACCCCCCAGGGACAGACAGACGGACACACACACACACAGCCTCGGACCTGCTGACCTCACGCCAGCCAGCCCCGCCTCGCCTGGGGGTCAGCACATGCGCATGGACCCCAGGCTCCCTCCTCATGTCCCTGTGGCATCTCCCCACCGTGGCCACGTCTGTGACCACCCCTCAGAGCCCTGGGCCGCGTGTCCCGAGGGTTTGGAGCCTTGGAGACGTCTGTCTCTGAGTGCCTGGGGTCCGTCCTCTGCGTCGCTGCTGGTTCCTCACCCCGGCTCTGTGCTATTTCTGCTCGGGATTCCCCAGTCCTGCCCTTCGCCCCCTTGCCCTGCTTTCCACAGAAATAGCTCGAGTAGCCTCAACCCCGAGGAGGACCCAGGAGTTCTGAACAATACCCCCTCCTGTCCTGCACGCATCCCTTCTCCCTCAGCTTCCTGTGGCCACCTGGGAGAAGAGGACCCCACAGCCCCGGGGTGCGGGTTGAGGCAGGTGGGGAGACTGGCCCCAGCCGAGGACCACTGACCCACCTGACTCCTGATCACCCCAACGGGGCATTCCCCATGTTGCACTACAGTAGCACCTTTGTCTCCACCTTTTTGGACACTAGGGTTTAGGGCCTGAACTCCTGACACCTGGGTCTGAGGGAGGAGAGGCTGGGGGCCTGGACTCCTGGGTTGATTCAGGGGTCTGGGCTGTCACCCCAAGTCCTCTGTCAGTGGAAGGGGCTGCTGTGACCAGATCCCTATTGTTGCTCTCAGGCTGGCCCCAGGCCCAGTCCCCATACCCTCAGGCCAGTCCACCCCCCAGGCTGGTGGCCTGAGTCACCTTGGCTGCCCACCCCCTGTCTGGGGGGGCTACGTCAGTTCTCCCCTCACTGACGCAGCCTTGGGCCCCCCACACTGACTCAGCCGGAAGTAGGCCCCCTGAGGGGTGGAGACCCAGTGGTCAGAGGCCTGGGTCCCAGCGGCCTCTGGGGGGCCATGGCAGACCAAGAGAGAGCGAGCATGCTTACCTGAGGCGATGAGGTCATGTCCCACCATGGGGGGGCTGTGACCTCACCTCCCTGGGGACCTGAGCAGTTGCCCCCCCCCCCAGTGGTGGGGGATGACTCCAGCTGCCATTCAGCCCCAGAGCCCCCTGCCAGCTCAGCAGTCTGGGGGCCAGGAGGGGTCTGCAGGGAGACCTTCCGAAGCGCTTGTCATCTTTTGTCCTCTCACTATGTCTTTCTCTGCCACCCTGGGGGGTGGGGTGCTCCTGGGCACTTTGGTTGTGTCTCAGTCCCTCGGTGGTTCTGCTTTGAACCTGGGCCACCTCTGCCCCATACACCTGGCTCTCACGGCCTGCCTGCCTGTGTCAGCCTCTCTGTCCCTGTGTCGTCTCCTCTGCTGCTCCGATTGCCTGTCCTGTGTCCATCTCTACCTGTCCTCTCTGCACCTTCCTGTCACCCTCTGTCTCCCTCACTGGCCAAATCAGCCTCCCCCAGTAGTTACATCTCTCTCTGCCTCCCTGAATGTGTTCAATAAAAACCAACAAAACCAGCCATGGTTTGCACTTATCGAGAGCTGACTGTGTGCTTTACGTGACTGATTTCACCCGTGTCCACATCCAGGCGTTTGGGGCTTGGGGTGGGTACACAGCTGTCCCCAGTTTCACGGGACACGGAGGCACGGAGGGCTGAAGCCCGGTACCTGAGGCCCCAGCTCAACTGGGCGTCTCAACGTCTCTCTCGCTGGGTCCCGTCTCTGTCTCTGGTTCTCTCTCCCCTTCCTGTCCCTGCCTGTCACCTGCGCTCTCTCTTGCTCTGTCCCCATTGCTGACTCCTAACCATCTCTGTGTCTTGGGGCGTCTGCCCCTTTGCAGCCCTGCCTTGGCGTTTTCTCCGTGTCTCCTGGCCCCTGCTCCTTCCCCTCTGAGACTCGGTGTCTCTGTTCCTCTGCTCACTCCGGGGCTCTCCCAGTTTCTCCTGCTGCCTCCATCTGTCTCTCTGATCGCTGACTCCTGAACCTCTCCCCTCCGAGTCCTCTGCTCCTGCAGTCTATCCGCTGCCTGCCTCCATTGCTCTGTGCATTGCTATCTCTCTCTCTCTCTCTGCATCTCTGCCCCAGGGACGCCGTCTGTCCCTGTGTCCCTTGCATCTCTGCCTGGGTCTCAGTTTCTCCACCTCTCTCTCTGCCCCTTGGAGTCACTCCCCCCTAGAGCCTTCATTTCCCCAGGCCCGACCTCTCATCCCCTGCCTCCCCATCTCTCTGCCTGTCCTGGTCCAGCAGGACCCCCACCCGCAGCTGGGCCCCAGCTCTTGAGCGGCATGTGTCTGCCCCAGCCGCGGCCAGCCGAGGAGGTGGAGGGAGGGGACGCCAATGACCTCACCAGCCCCTCTCCGACCACCCCCCCTTTCCCTTTCAACTTTTCCAACTTTTCCTTCCGTGCCCTCCTCCGAGCGAGGCGGCGTGAGCCCTGCGAGGCAGCCGGCTCCGTCTGAATGGAAAAGGCAGGCAGGGAGGGTGAGTCAGGATGCGTCAGGCCGCCCTCCCCTGCCGCCTGCCCCCCGCCCGCCCGCCCCGGCCCCCTATATAACCCCCCAGGCGAACACACTCCCTCACTGCCGAGGCCCAGGCTGCTCACCGCACATGCCTCCCCTCCCCAGGCCGAGGCCCAGCTGACCCCTGGGGCTCCCCCGGCAGTGGACAGGGAAGGGTTAAAGGCCCCCAGCTCCCTGCCCCCTGCCCTGGGGAACCCCTACCCTGTGGGGACATGAACAGTAAGTTGGTTCAAGTTCATGGGGTGGAGGGGACAGGGAGGGAGGAGGGAAGGGCCGTCGGCGAGTAGGGTGGGGAGCAGACAGACAGCGGAATCGGACAGACAGGAGCTGGAGGGAGCGATGGGGAGGCAGACGAGGAGGGGAGAGTCAGGGAAAGTCAGAGGCCCGAAGCGGGACGGCAGAGGGAGGGATGAAGCGACAGAGTCTCAGAGACACCGGGAAGTGGAGACGCACAGACAGACACACACCAATGCAGCGAGGTGACCCCAAAGGGTCCAGGACCCCAAGGGAGACAGCGGGGACGAGAGACGCACACACCCAGGGACCCAGGGAAACTGAGGCAAAGAACCAAGGAGGTGAGAATCAGGAGGAGAGAGAGAGAGAGAGAGAGAGAGAGAGAGAGAGAGAGAGGCAGGGTGCAGACAGAAATGGGGGAGCCGGACGGACGGACAGACGGCGGCGGGAGCGGCCCGGGGGGCGGGCTGGGGGTGTGCGCGGGAGCGGGGCGGCCCGGGGGGCGCTGATTGGCTGCGGGCGGCGGGAGGTGGGGCCCGGGGGGATGGGCTGCCGGAGAGGCTGCGGCCGGAGCCCGGGCGCAGCGCCGCGGGGTCCCGCTCTCCCGCCCAGGTGTGCCGGGGCATCCCGCACTGCAGCCGGCCCTCCGCGGCCCACTCGGGGGTGTCTCCCGGGGAGGAGCCGGGGCCTCTGGGTCTCCGGCCCGAGCTCCCTCCTCTGTTCTCAGTCCGGCCCGGGTTCCCGGGGCCCGGGGAGGGGGCAGGTTCTGGCCTGTGCCTCCCCCTCATGCCCCGCCCCGGGGCCCAGATTCCGGCGTCCGGGGGCGGACGGGAGACGCCCGGCCCGTCTACCCGCCCGGGGCCGCGTCTGCTCCGACGGGCGGGGCAGCCAGAGCCGGAGAGGGAGAGGGAAGCCCGCCCCGGCCGGCAACCTGCCCTGGGTGCTCCGCCCTGGGGCACGAGACCCCCCGGTCCTCCTCCCTCGGACCGCCAGTCCCGCCTGAGCCCTCCGCCTTCCCCCGCCCGCAGGTGTTTGCTGCCTGGTCTTGGTCGCGCTGAGCCTGTGGCCGGACAGAGCTGCTGCCCCAGGGCCGCCTCCTGGGCCCCCGAGGGCTTCCCCCGACCCTCGGGCTGAGCTGGACAGCGCGGTCCTGCTGACGCGCTCGCTCCTGGCGGACACTCGGCAGCTGGCCGCACAGCTGGTAGGACAGGCTGGAGGGGACGGTGGGGGCCAGACGACAGTGACCGAGCGCGGGGCGGTGGCAGAGAGGGGAAGGAGGAGTTGGAGGCCTGTGGCGGGGCATGAAGGGACCCCCAGAGCTGGGCAGGGTCCCCCTCACCGCCTCTTTCCCCCAGAGAGAAAAATTCCCAGCCGACGGGGACCACAACCTGGACTCCCTTCCCACCTTGGCCATGAGCGCAGGAACGCTGGGAGCCCTCCAGGTAAGAGCGGGAGAGATGGGCGTGGGGGCGGGGGGAGAGGAGAGTTGAGCCGGGGAGAATTGGGAGCCCGGAGTGAGCATGTGCCGGGTGCTCCTGACGCCCCCGTGCCCTGTCCCCCAGCTCCCGGGCGTGTTGACACGGCTGCGGGCAGACCTGTTGTCCTACCTGAGGCACGTGCAGTGGCTTCGCCGGGCGGGAGGCCCTTCCCTACGGACCCTGGAGCCTGAGCTAGGGGCCCTGCAGGCCCGGCTGGACCGGCTGCTGCGTCGGCTGCAGCTCCTGGTATGACGCCCCCTGCTCAGAGACCCTCGCCCTGTACCCCCAAGATCCTGTGGTCCTGAGACTCTGGTCCCAAGACACCATATTCCAGACCCCAAGCCCCGGGGGGAACTCTGAACCTCCAGACCCCGAGATTCTCAGATCCTGGACTAGAGACCTGACTTGGCAAACCCTAGATCTCATGAACCTAGACTCTGAGGTCTGAGACTATAAGACCCCAGACCTTGAGCCCTGAGTCCCCAAGACTTCACGTCCTGGTTGGGAGCCCTTGAGACCTCAAGATCCTGAGTTCCAAAGCCACAGACCTAAGACCCTAAGACCCCTGGGCCTGACCCCAAAGGCCCTGGACCTCAAACTGCAGCTCCCAGTTCTTTTTTTTTTTTTTTTGTGGTACATGCCCCTAGTGGGAACCGAACCCGGAACTCCCTGGTCCACAGGCCGATGCTCAACCACTGAGCCAAACCGGCTAGGGCCAGCTCCCAGTTCTGAGACCCCACACTTGAGACACTAGCCCTCACCCCTGAGTCCTTGAGATCTAAGACCTCCCTCCCCAGCCCTAAGATCAGGGTCTGGTCTGTCCTGAGTCCACAGCACCAGGATCCCAGCCCTGAATTTACAGATGTCGCCCTCGACCCCCTGGACATGACCCTGTAACCCCAACCTTAAGACCCCCCCTCCTTTTGGGCACAGCCTCCGTTTTCTGAACCCAGCATTCTGAACCCCCTTATCCAGACACCCAACGCGAAGACCAGAGACACTGGAAATAGGCAGCTTGGACCCCTGATGTGATTCAGCAGAGGCTCCAAACACTTCTTTCCAGACCCCCACCGCACCCCTGGCCTGTTGCTAACCCTTTGTCCTCTCCCAACAGATGTCCCGCCTGGCCCTGCCCCAGGCGCCCCCAGATCCACCGGCACCCCCCCTGGCCCCACCAGCGTCAGCCTGGGGAGGCATTCGGGCAGCCCACGCCATCCTCGGGGGGCTGCACCTGACGCTGGACTGGGCGGTGCGGGGCTTGCTGCTGCTCAAGACTCGCCTGTGACCCGCCACCCAGAGCCACCGGCATCCTTCACCGCCAGACCTTATTTATTTATTTATTTCGGGACTGGGGGCGTGGCAGCCAGAGGACCCCCCTCCCCATTATCTCCCCTAGTTAGAGACAGTCCCTCCAGGAGACCTGGGTGGGGACATCTGTGCCTTATTTATACTTATTTATTTCAGGGGGTGGGGGGGAGGCAGGTGGATGCAGGGGTCCCCAGTGGGAGGGGACTGGTTCCTGAATTCTTGGATCTCTAAGAAGCCAGACCACAGTGTCTCCCGGGCCCCCACCCCTCTGGGGCTGAGCAGGAGCATATATTATTTATTAAGCCATTACTTTTTACGTTGGGGTGGGGAGGGAGGGGGAAGGAGGCCTGGGTTTTCATACAAAAAGGTGAGAAACCTCTGTGAGATGGAGAAGGGGAATTAAATTTGTCATACACATCCGCTCAGAGGCTGTTTCTGTGGGGGATGATGGCTGGGGGCTGGGGGCTGGACATGGACCTCTGGGACAGGGACACGGAGGGACCCCGACTGGGCAAGGTGGTAGAGGGGAGTCCATCAGTGCCCCACGGCCCCTGAACCCTGAGGGGCAGGGTCTGAGCCTCACCTGGTGCCCAGCACTCAGTAGGCATTCAATCACTATTTCATGGGAGGCTCCAGACGGTCACCCTGTGACCGACAGTGGTCATCCAGGGCAAAGCTGCAGGCTGAAGTTTGTTCATGATGGCGGTGTTCACACCAGGAAATCAGAAGCAGCCTAGATGTCCAGCATTGGGGCTGGTTAAATAAATCTCAGCGCATCCTATGGTGGAGCTCACGGACACCCAGGGAGAGCTACAGGGGCTGCCAGACACAGAAAGGGCAGGCTGCAGCCCGGCCAGCGTGGCTCAGTTGGTTGCACATGGCCCCACGCAGGAAGAGGCCATCAGTTCAGTTCGGGTCAGGGTGCATGCCCCGGTTGCAGGCCTTGGTCCCCAGTAGGGGGCGTACAGGAGGCAGCCAACATGGATGTTTCTCTCTCATTGATGTTTCTCTCTCTCCCTCTCCCTTCCTCTCTCTAAAATAATCAATAAAAACATATTTTAAAAAAATAAAAGAGCAGGCTGTGGTTACCATGGCGTGATCCCCATTCTTTCTCTACATATATGGTTTAAAAATATATATATACCGAAATATGGACAATGGCCGGTTCCAGGTAGAAGGTGTGGGGTAGAATCGTGGGTGACTTTTATTATTTGTGTTTGCACTCCTGAGAATTTCTACGGTGACCATGTATTTCTCAGAACACGTTATTAAAAAATAATAAACACTATTTTTAGAATGACGGAATACCAGTCTGCCCCCTCAAAAAAAGTAAGCTGTCATTGAGCACTGGCTCTGGGCTGTGCCCTAGGTGTAGGGTATTAATTACATGATCCCCTACATCCTCCAATACACCCCATTTTACAAGTGAGGGAAACTGAGGCTGGGGTTGCCTGTCCAAGGTCACACAGCTAGGGAGAGACCATTGTGATTCTACCACAGATCTGGCTCATGGCAAAGTGTGTGTCTCTTTCTTTACAACTCAATATGCAGCAACTGTGATCACAGACACAAATGTGTTTGACATGGGGAAACCGAGGCTCTGTGAAGGTGTGTGTCTTACTCAAGGTCTAGAGAAGGGTCGTTTGTGAGTGGAGGCTGTATTTGGGACTCCCCTCTCAAGAGCCAGAAACCCGCTCGGCCAATGTGACTCGGTAGTTGAGTGTCAACCCATGCACCAAGAGGTCACCAGTTTGGTGATTCCCGGTCAGGGCACATGCCCAGGTTGGGGGCCAGATCCCCAGTGGGGGGCATGCAGGGGGCGGCCAATTGATGTTCTCGCTCATTGATGTTTCTATCTCTCTCTTCCTCTCCCTTTCTTTCTCTCTAAAATCAATTTAAAAAAAATTTTTTTTAAAGTCAGAAACCCTTTGGGTAAATATCCATTTGCAACATCCCAGATAGATCCTCCTAAGGGGCCTGTCTTGTCACCAGTTTGAGTCTGGGGCAGGGCCTTCTGGTTCACCCCCCAGCCCCAGTCCTCAGGACTCCTGGCCACATCCCCAGGGGAGAAAAGAGCCCAAAGATCCCCCCCCCCCCAGAGAGTTTCTAGGAAGAGTTCTATGTGTGTCCAATGAGGTCACAAAGCCTCTCCATGAAAGGCCCCTCCCCCAGGCCAGGCCAACCACCCCTGCAGGGTCATGGCCAAGCCCTGGGGAAGCTCCACCCTCTGGAACTGCTGAGCTTGGGGCCAGGGCCAGGGGACTGGAGGGTGCCAGGTCCCTGACTCCCTGCCCTGGGTGACCTCCCTTTCTGCAGCCGCCATGAACAGGCTTTGGAATACCAGGCGCCCGGACCCACTGCCAGCACCCCCACAGTGGGTCCCCATTCTGGGCCAGCTGCAGAAGACCCTCCAGAAGAGAGAGTACCTGCCCCTCCGCTCGCTGCCCATGTTCGAGAGTAACTTTGTCCAGGTTCCCAGCTCCCTGAGCCTTGGGGGCAGAGAGGGGCAGAGTGACAATCCCTGGGCTGGGGGACTTGGGGCAGCTCGGGGCTCAGGGGGTTGGGGCTCAGTCTGTGGGTGCCTCAGGAGCAACACAGGGAGGAGTGGTCCCAGCCCCTCTCCCTGGCCCCCCAGGTGACCAGCCAAGGGGCCCCTGTGTATGTGCACCACAAACCCAACTATCTGACCTTGGGGGTGGCCGCCACCCTGCCTGACCCCGGGCTGCCAGACCTCCTGCTCATCGCGAAGCCCTCTGAGAACAAGGACTGCTCCAACCTCATCCTCACCAGGTGCCTCCACCCCCCCATCCCCTGCCACCCCCACCTCCCTCCATCTCCTGCTCTACCTCCTCCATCTCCTGCCTCCACCAGGATGCTCCCACTGGACCTGGTCCACCTCTATGTCCACAACCTGTCTGCCTGGCGCCTGAAGCTTCACTTGATCACAGGCCGCTACTACTACCTGGAGCTGGATGCGCCTGCCAGGGAGATCGCGTTTCTGTTTGACCGCTGGATCCGGCTCATCAGCCTGCTCCGAGAGCCGGCCGCCTTCTGGGCCCCCAGGACCCTGCACACACCCCTCTCAGACCTGGCACCTCCTGCCTCCACCTGGCGCCTCCAGGTGGAGCATGACACACAGACCCCAGGTGGCAGTTAGGGTTCTAGGTTCCAAAGGGAGCCAGGACCAAGAGCCTGGAGTGCAGGGTCCTCAGAAATGGGGCTGGGGGCTGGGTCGGCTCATCTGAGCATGGGAGCTGGGGGCCTGGACTCCTAGGTCTGAGGGAAGAGAAGTTAGGGGCTGAGTTAGCTGGTATGGGGGAGGGGGGCAGGGGGCTGGAGTCTTGGGCTGGGTGCTAATGGAGATGTAGAAGCCAGGAAGAGGCCGCCCCTCCTGACGGACCCCTCTTCGTCCACAGGACAAGCCCCACACCAGATGCTCAGGCCCAGGTGATCAGGCTTGGGCACCCATTGGGTTTGCTGGGTCTCAGCTTCTCCACCACCAGGCAGGGGTGGGGTTTCCAACACTGGCTGCTCCCTCTTTCCAACACTGGCTGCAGCCCTGACAGGTCTCCTCAGTCTCTCCCCCTGCCCTCCCAGCATCGAGGACCCTGAGGCAGGTCTCCCCGTCTCTTTTCAGTCATGCGTGTTGACCCCACCATTTCTCGCAAGGTGCCGACATCTCAGAAACAGAGGAAGGCCAAGGTGAGCGGCCCGGGCAGGCCTGTGGGTGAGGGCTGAGGAGCTGCGCCCCCTGACAGCCCTCCCTCCCCTGTCCCCCTCACAGCCCCTCAAGCGCAGATTCAAGTCCCAGGCCGTGGGGGACTCCGTGCCTCTCATCTGCTCGCAGCTGGAGCATACGGACTCTAGGAAGAAAGGCACAGGAAACGCGTAGGCTTGGGGCTGTGTTCCCGGTGGGCTTGGGAGGATGGGGACGCCAGCCGAGTCCCACTATGTTGTGCCTACAGGTCCCACCCAGAACACGCCCTTCCCAGCTCTGTGGCCAAAAGCCCAGTTTCTGGTGAGCACACCTCTCCCTTTGCCTCCATGAGTGGACCCCAAAGCTCTGGTCCTTCCCCTGAGAGCTCAGGCCACTTTCTTCCCTTCCAGAGAAGTCCAGCTTCAGCATCTGGACCATCTTCAGCAACTTTCCCAACAGCATCGACCAAAAGCTGTCCTCTTCCAAGGCACCTATACACTGGGAGCCAGGAGTCCAACTCTTAGCTCTGAGGGAGGAGGGCTGGGGGCTTGGACTCCTGGGTCTGAGGGAGGAGGGGCTGGGGGCCTGGACTCCTGGGTCTGAGGGAGGAGGGGCTGGGGGCCTGGACTCCTGGGTCTGAGGGAGGAGGGGCTGGGGGTCTGGACTCCTGGGTCTGAGGGAGGAGGGGCTGGGGGCCTGGACTCCTGGGCTCCTGGGTCTGAGGGAGGAGGGGCTGAGGGCCTGGACTCCTGGGTCTGAGGGAGGAGGGGCTGGGGCCTGGACTCCTGGGTCTGAGGGAGGAGGGGCTGGGGGCCTGGACTCCTGGGCTCCTGGGTCTGAGGGAGGAGGGGCTGAGGGCCTGGACTCCTGGGTCTGAGGGAGGAGGGGCTGGGGGCCTGGACTCCTGGGTCTGAGGGAGGAGGGGTTGGGGGCCTGTTCTGTGTCTGAGAGGCTCCCCCAGCCCTGACCATTCTTTCCCTCACCTCCCTTCATCTCCAGGGTCGCTCACCTGTATATGATAGGGCGGTGGTCCTTGGTGGTTTGGTTGAGACCCCTTCACCTAGTATCTCAGAGAACAGCCCTGACATTGCCTTTCTAGTCTCCTGTGAGCAGTTGGATATGCAACAGGGCTTCAAAGACCCGACAGACCACGAATCCAGCACGTTGTCCTCCAACTCCTTCAGCCAGGACACCTACTCTCCCAACTTCTACCTGCCTTCCCCCCACTCCTCTGTTCCCAGGCACCACAAAAAGGCCAGGCCCCTGGGCTCTGCACAGAAATGGTGGCTTCCACTCTCCCAGAACACCTCCTCCATCCCTGCCACCTCTAGGAAGGCTCCGTTCATCCTTGACCAGTCCCAGAAGGTATCGGCTAGACCTGCTGCTCCCCAGAAGACCTCCATTCTAGCTTCTGTTCCCCAGAGGGCCCCAGCTGTACCTGCCCCATCTTGGAAGACCCCACATGTACTAGCTATTCCCCAGAAGCCCATGCCTCGTCCTGTCCCAAACCAGAAATCTCTGTTCCTACCCACCCCATCCCAGATGGCTTTGGACCCTGCCGATGTGGGCATGTTGCCTGTTGGAAGTCACGCAGGGGATGTGCTTAAGAAAAGCCAGCCTGAAGGGAGGACAGAGCCGTTGGTGTTGGTGGGCACCCAGGAGATGCAAGTCACGGAGATGCGGGCCCAGAAAGTGTCCCTGGAGCCGCCCTTCAACACCACCAAGAAGAAGATGAAGAAGGTCGTGATCAGCACAGCCCGGGAGGTCACCCTGGATGGCTTGAAGGGCAAGGACACGCTGGAGGACAAGGTCTGCAGCATGAAGGAGGAGAAATCCATGGTCGTGCCTGGCTTCAAGTCCAAGATGACAGGGCAGCAGAAGAAGTGGGTCAAGACCCAGGAGCTGGTCATGGAGGGAGCCCCAAAGGAGCACAGAAGGCCCTTGCCTGCGGAGGAGCTCACCCCCTCCAAGAGGATGATCATGGCCAACTCCAAGGAGTCGCCCATGAGACCCAAACTTTTCGGTCTGCCATCCTGGCGCTCGACCCCCCGGGTCAGGATGAGCCCAAAGTCCCTCTACTCCAGACAGGTGACTGTGTTGGAAGACACATCAGTGGTGCTCGGGGAGCAGCCCCAGTTGGGCTCCTGGGCAAAGGGGAGCAAGGGTCTGAGGTTGAAGGAGACCTCGAGTCCTCGGGCAGCGGTAGAGGCAAAGAAGCTGCCCTCGGACCCGATAAGGGCTTCCAAAGTGCACGCCCGCTCCAAGCGTGCCCCCAGCAGCCTGAAGATGAACAGACACTCCCAGGTCCCCATCCCTCTGCCTGCAACAAGGTGGGAAGATGTCCAGTCACCCATCGTACCAACCTCCATCTCAAAGACGGAGGTCAGGATGTCCCAAAAGCCCAACAGAGAATCTCAAGAGATGCCGGGGATGCCAGACCAGTTGCCTTTGGCCAAGACGGAGTTCTCCTTGGGGATTCTCATGCCCAAGCTCTTGGAAATTGACAACATGAGGGGTGTGGCCAAAAATGTGAAGAAGAAGAAAAAGATAAGTGTCTTCACACCTTGGCCCAGGTATGTGGGGAGAAAGGACCTCTGGAGTTAGCAGCAAGGTGACATGATGGAGACCTGAATGGGGCAGGCTTAGGGAGCACAGGAAACAGGGCACCACTGTGCTGCCACCCTTGAAAACAGGGTGCTCAGTGAAAGGAGCCCCATGCCAATGCCAGCTCCGTAGTGTGTGGTTCTATTTGTATTGCAATGTCCAGAACGGGCAAATCCCTAGACCCAGAAAGGAGGTTAGTGGTTGCCGAGGGCTGGGAGGGATGAGGGAACAGGCAGAGACTGCTTCATGGGTATGGGGTTTTCTCCTGGCATCATGAAAATGCTCTGGAACTAGAGATTGTGGTCGCAGGACATTGCGAATGTATTGAATGCTGCTTTCAAATGATTACAATGGTAAATTTTATGTGACGTGTCTTCGACTACACGAATACACAAGAAGGGAATCTGAGACCAGGTCTGTCCATGTAGTTTGCTGAAAGGGGACGGGGGTCCATGGAAAGGCCACTGGTGTAGGACTTGGGCACAAGAGGGACTTCTTTAAAAAAATTTTTTTTTTCTTTATTGATTTTAGAGAGAGAAGACAGGAGAGGGAGAGATGGAAACACCGATGAGAGAGAACATTGATTGGCCACCTCCTGCATGCCCCCACTGGGGATCAGGCCCACAACCTGGGCATGTGCCCGGACTGGGAATCGAACTGGTGACCTCTTGGTGCACAGGCGGAAGCTCAACCAGTGAGCCACACCAGCCTGGCAAGAGGGGCTTCTTAAGAGGGAGAGATATTTGTACATTTGGATGTTGGGGTGAAGGATTCAGAGTCCGTTGATATTAGTGAGGCAGGAGGGCGGGAAACCTCCAAGGGACATGGGGAGGCGGGTGGAAGCCCGGATTCCGGCTGGGTCTTGCCGGTTCCGAGAGCAAGACTCCTTCCTTCGGTATTGAGCCGGTACTGCTCTCTCTCTCTCCAGCATTCACGGTTCCCAGCGCCTTCAGTAGCAAGATGCTGGGACTCAACCTCAGTCGCTAAAGCATCCAGAGGAGCCCAGCGTGGCCAGGTAGCCCCTGACACTGTCAGACACGCCTTGCACCTGGCACCGAGTCAGGGCCCTCGAACCCCACCAGTGAGTGCTCTTTGCTCTTCCCTGCAGGCCCCAGACGCCAAGCGCCTCTAGTGTAAGAATCGGGGTGCTGAACAGGCCAGGTGCGGGGAGCTCCCTCTCCGGTAGAGACCAGAGCTATCTATCTATACATTTATATATTGGGGGGCGGGGGGCGAGCCGGGGGAGAACCCGCGGGGTGGCCCAGCTTTGCAGAGATTAAAAGACTGAGTCTGAGACGCGGCAAAAGTCGAGCCTCGTGCCTGGGTGCGCGCACGGGGGCCCGGGGAGCGGGCGTCGGGCTGGGGTGGGGGTGGGGCGGGAGGAAGCGGGGTCCACGCGGACCCTGCCCCGCGTCCCCGACCGTTTTCCGCAGCGCGGCCGCTCCCATTGGCTGGGGTTCCCGGATCCCAGCCAATACGGCCGAGGAGTCGAAGTGTCCCTGGGCTGGGACTCTCGAGACCCAGAAACGAGGGGCACGCGGGACGGAGCCACAAGCACAAGCCACCCAGTGACGCGCTGACATCAGCCCGGTTAGGACAGGATGGATCGGGGCTGGGTGTCGGGGTGGGGGTCAGGAGCGGAGTGCGAGTCGGAGCGAGGGCCCCCCCCTGGGCCCCACGGATGCCTCTCCTCTCCGCAGGCGCTGCCGGCTCACGGCGTGTTCCACACTGAGAAGCCCCCCAAGGGGCGATGGTTCACGCCGCCCTTCGACCCGCGCTTCCCCAACCAGAACCAGACCCGCAACTGCTACCAGAACTTCCTGGGTGAGCACTCGTGGGCAGGGTCGGGGGAGCGGGGTGAGACGGGGAGGCAGGAAAGGGCGCGCCCCAGCTCCTGAGAACAGGACAGGGGCCGGGACCCGCCGAGGGGGCGGAGACCGTTGGGGTGGGGGGCGGAGCGAGCCACGGGGGAAGAGGCGGGTACTGTCCAGTAGGGGCGGGGCTATGGAAGGAAAGGCGGGACTTGGCCAGGTGAGGGGTGGGCCCTATCATTGGAAGATGAGACCTGGCCGTTGGTGGGCGGGACCTATTCTGGAGAGGCGTGGCTGAGTCATTTGGGGGCTGGGACCGGATCTTGGGGAGGCGGGGCCAACTCTGGGGGCACGTGACAAAGTCGTGGAGGGGCGGGGCGAAGGAGGGATGGGGTCTGGCCGGGAGGGGGCGGGGCCTGATCTGGAGGGGTTGGGCCCCACCTGGGAGGCAGCCAGGTCTGTCCGGGAGTGAAAAGCAGGGGTCTGACCGGGAGGGGCGGGGCCTGATCTGGAGGGGTTGGGCCCACCTGGGAGGCAGCCAGGTCTGTCCCGGTGTGAAAAGCAGGGGTCTGGCCGGGAGGGGCGGGGCCTGATCTGGAGGGGTTGGGCCCACCTGGGAGGCAGCCAGGTCTGTCCCGGTGTGAAAAGCAGGGGTCTGGCCGGGAGGGGGCGGGGCCTGATCTGGAGGGGTTGGGCCCCACCTGGGAGGCAGCCAGGTCTGTCCCGGTGTGAAAAGCAGGGGTCTGGCCGGGAGGGGGCGGGGCCTGATCTGGAGGGGTTGGGCCCCACCTGGGAGGCAGCCAGGTCTGTCCCGGAGTGAAAAGCAGGGGTCTGGCCGGGAGGGGCGGGGCCTGGCCGGGAGGGGCGGGGCGTGGGGCGCGGCCCCACCCACCACCTGTCTGGCCCCGCAGATTATCACCGCTGCGTCAAGAAAATGAACCTCCGCGGGAAGAGCACGCAGCCCTGCGAGTATTACTTCCGCGTGTTCCACTCGCTGTGCCCCATTAGCTGGGTGAGCGGGCAGAGGGGTGCCGGCTGGCCGGCCGGACCGGGCGCGGTGGGCGGGCCCGGCTGAGCTGAGCCCGCGCCCCGGCCTCCCTCCCGCCCGCCCAGGTGCAGCGCTGGACGGAGCAGATCCAGCAGGGGACCTTCGCGGGTAAAATCTGACGCTCTGCGCGGCTCCTTCCTGGCACCGGCCCCAGTGGCCCTCGTCCCCTCGACTCCTGGAGACCGGGGTCCGGACCCGCACCCCCCAATCTCTAAGCGACAAATAAAGCTATGTTGTTACTGCTGTTTCTTCTTAATGTCTGCCCCGGGCGCCGTGGGGGCGCGGGAAGGTCCTGCGCCCTGCATCCAACGCCACTGTCCCGCCGATGAGAGGGGCGAGGAGGGCTGCTCCGTCAGGGCTGGGGTGGAGGGAGGGCTGGCAGATCTCCGGGGTAGGCGGCAGCCGCCCTCCCAGGGTCACTTTAGCCTCTCCGGATGCCAACACTTGCCCATCAGGATGGCTCCAGGGTGCTCCTGTTTCTCAATCCCAACACCTCCCTGTCACACGAATCCTCCCTCCATCTCCTTCCTCAGGACCCTCTTGTCCTCCTACCCGGACCACCTCCCAGACTCCTTCCAAGCTTTCTGCGCCTCTGTCCCCGTCCATCCCATCTCACATCCTGCGGGGGGTCACTTTGGGACTGTCCAGCCTTAACCCCCATTCCTCCCTGCCGTGCTCCAAACCCATTCCTGGCTCCACCCCTCTCCTGCCCCCACGTGACTCCATTTCCCCTCAGTACCCCTTAGTCCTGCCTGGCGAGCCCTCCTCGCAGCGTCTTCTGCACTGCTGGCCTCTGTCCAGCCCCCACCTACAGCCAGGAGCAGCCGTCTCCTCCGTCTCTAATGAAACCGGCCAACCCCTCCGCAAAGGTGTCACTCCATTTCTCCGCAGACCCCTTCCAGACTGAGTCCAGATGCCCCCCTGAATTATTCTCTGCTTCCATTCCATTGGGTGCGGGGCCTGCCCACAGCCAGGCTCTCAGGTGACAACACAGATTCCTTCTGAGTCCAGACACCCCTTCAAACGTTACCTCTCTGGACACCTTCACCCCACGCCCCAGGCTGAGGAGTGACTCGTGACGGAGCATGGAGCGTGGTCCTGCCCCAGACGGCCAGCTGTGATAGACACCTGAGCATGGGAAAACTGGACTCCACTGTTTCTACCTGCAGCTGCTGGCCTCCTTAGGCAACCTGGACCCCCGCCCTGAAGCTGTCTCCGGAGGCCCTGTTCCACCCCAGCGTTCAAAGGTGGCTGTTACTGTTCTGGCTGGTTTGGCTCAGCGTTTAGATCATCGGCCCACGGACCAGAGAGACCCGGGTTTGGTTCCCACTAAGGGCACGTACCTTCGTTGCAGTTTGTCTCGGGCCCTGGTTGGGGCCGTGTGGGTGGCAACCAGTTGATATGTCTCTCTCACATCATTGTCTCTCTCTCTCTCTCTCTCTCTCTCTCTCTCTCTCTCTCTTCCCCCCTCTCTCCCTCCCGCTCTGTCTGAAGATAGATGCAAAAATGTCCTCGGGTGAGGATTAAAACAAAAAGGTGGCTGTTACTAATCGTGACAACTTTCTGGGTGACCCTGGACGAGCCTGTTGACCTGCATGCACCTCAGTTTCCCCAGTTGTAAATGACGTAGTGCAGAGTCCCACGATCCAGCGGGAGGGGCTGGGTGAGCTCAACGGAGGACAGGCTCCAACCCATCCCCTCACTCCCTCGGTGCCCTCATCACCCCACCCAGGGCACACCCCAGATGTGCCATCTCCCGGATGGCTCCACCCCAAGACTTGGCCCCTAGGGATCCTCTCTGGGACCATGACCTGAAAGGCAGGGGCATGACTGAAGGCACAGGGTGTGTCCTGGGCCAACAGACCTGGAAGCTACAGGAGGGGACTTCCCTGAGCCTCCCCTGCACAGAGGCCGCACTGCTGCAGGAAGGAAGAAGCGTCGGTGCCACGCAGGCAAGGCAGCTGAGTCACAGAATGGGGTGACAGCTGTCTGAGCACATGGTGAGGTCACCCAGGTAGCATCCACGTACAGGGCTGACACCTGCAGAGCCACAATCAGCCCCTGACTCCCCAGAGCACGTGCCTGGAGTGCATTTCGCCCCGTTAGCAGGCAGCCCCTCCTGGTCTTCCTCCTTCCTTCCCTTTTGTGCCCAGGATCCTCCCCACCCATCCCTGGACCGCTTCTGGGACATTTTGACACTCCTGTTGTCTCTGTAGCCACCACTGTCCTGTGGATGCCTGAGCCTGGGCCAGCCATGCTTAACCTCCAGCCGGCTGGATCAATACCAGCACAAACTCCCAGCCCCGAACACCTCTCCACAGCTTCTCAGCCAGCTTTGCCTGCCACGTCCCCAAACCCCAGTGCCAGCCTCCCTGTCCCCCAGCAGCCTCCCAGGTCAGAGGAAACGGGACACAACTTGCTCCCCCTTTCTCTCTCCTCCCCCAGTGCCCATCCCCCCACCCCCCCTCCATCCCTTATCCTCCTCCCCTCTTCTGCCATCCCTGCCCCAGAACCAGCTCCTTCCTCCCAGTCTAGACTCGGGAGCTACCTGGTCAGAATGACAAAACCACTCCGCTGCCCTTTGCCCTTTGCTCCAGGCACCCTGGAATTCTGGAGGCACCTGCTCTCCCTCTCCTTCTTCCACCCGGCCAGCTGGCTGTCCCTTGGTCCCCAGTGGGCGCACCTCCGGCCTCCCTGGTGTCTGCCTCTTTCCTGAAGACCCCAGAGCCCGGATGACTCTGGCAGGGGGTTCTAGCCCCAGCTGTGCAGCTTCCCAGCCATGTGACCCCAGACAGAGTCCCTAAGCCCTCTGCCCCATTCATCTAAAGTGTGTTGCACAGGCACTGGGGGAGGAGGAGAATGCTGTGAGCGTCCTGTCTTGCAGGCTGTGCAGAGTCCCTGTACAAAGAATTCGAAGCGCTCAGCATCAGTGTGGCCCAGCTCCGGTGCTCAATACTCTCCTGGAGAGTGGGAGTCACCTGGATGGCAGCCCCAGGAGGACTGACCCCACCAACAGAGAACTGGAGCTCCCGGACCCCTCACACAGAGTCAAAGGGCCAGCAAGCACTCTGGAAGGGAGAAATGGGGTGCAGGCATGGGGCGTCCTGCCTGCACAGCACAGGGCTCCCTGTCACTAATTATTTCGTTTCTTGTGGTTCTCTCCTGCCTTTGCCTTCCAACCACCGTCCCCATTTACCTTGCTCTGTTCCCCATGTGTATGATGGGGTTCTCACTGGCCTTGACCAGCCTGACCCTCTACGTACCGCACCCCCTGGGTTTGGGCCACCAAGGTGGGCTCTTGATGTCAAGCCCGGTCACCTGGACACCGCCAGGTCCTGCCAACTCATGGGACCCAACAAAAACTCCTGGCACTTTTTTTCAAATCCTCACCTGAGGATATTTTTTTTCATTCATTCCAGAGAGAGAGGAAGGGAGAGGGAGAGAGAAACATCCATTGGTTGCCTCCCACATGCACTCCGACTGGGAATCGAACCGGTGACCTTTCAGCGCACAGGACAGTGCTCAACCAACCGAGCCGCACTGGCCAGGGCTCCTGCACTTACCTCGTGGTTGGACACTACCCACCCAGTGGTCACAGCAGCTGTGCGACCTCGGGCGGTTTGTAAGGGGGTAATCCTGGTCAGGCCGTCACTGTCCTGAAGACAGTACCAGGACACAGGGCAGGCGGCCACTGTCAGCTGCAGGGAATGTCCTGAAGGTCTTCCCTTGTCATCCGGTCACTCCAGCCCGGGGTTCTTCAGCGGAGGCTGGCTGTGGCCCCCAGGGGGACATTGGGTGGTACATGGAGACATTTTTGTCACAAGTGAGGGGTGTTACTGACATCTAGTGGGTGGAGGCCAGGCAGGCTGGTCCTGACCCTTTGAGAAATTAGCCCCTCACATGGCAGCGGTGCAAGGGAGGGGGGGCTAACCGCTGGTTTCTAACCTGTGTTTTGGGTTCTAGACACTTTTGAGAATTAAAGGCCCCACACACTCTCTTTCCAGAACATGCATGGAAGCCCCATACCCACACAGGCCAAGGACCCCGCTATGCTGTCGTCTTTGTCTAGAAGCCACGGTGACGAGTTTCTACTTACTCAGAGCGACAAGCTCTTTGGTGACTGCCCTGTGGCCCATCTCGCCTCAGTCTCCTCTCGTGGCTTGCTGACCCGGGACCCTCTCAACAGATTTTTTTTCTTAATATATGTATTTTTTTATTCCTCACCCGAGGATACTTTTCTATTTATCATCAGAGGAAGGGAGAGAGAGAGACAGAAACATCGATGTGATAGAACCACATCGCCTGGTTGCCTCCCACACGATCCGACCAGGGCTGGGGACCAACTGCAACCGAGGTACATGCCCTGGACTGGAATTGAACCCATGACTCCATTGGTCTGCGGGCTGATGCTCTAACCACTGAGCAAAACTGGCTTAAGTATGTTTTTATTGATTTTTTAGAGAGAGAGGGAGAGATAGAAGCATCGACGTGAGAGAAACATCAATCAGCTGCCTCCTGCATGCTCCCTATTGGGGATCAAGCCCACAACCTGGACATGTGCCCTGACCAGAAATCAAAACAGGACCTCTCAGACCAAGGGACGGCGCCCAATCCACCGAGCCACAGTGGCCAGGCCTTTCTCCTGATTGTTAACATTAGAGAGATAACAGGGTTCGGTAGGATTTGCGTGGACGAAAGACACATTTTCTTTCTCCAAAAGGCATGGAAGAGGTTGCAGGTAAAGAAAACACATTTCAAAGTAAAAGAAGTACCTGCTCTGAACCACCCAGGTCCTCCTATGGCCTCCATACAGGTTCACTCCCTCTCCCCGGGCCCCCCAGGTCAACCTCCAGGTAAACTGCTGCAAGGCCGGCCAACACAGAGGAGGCAGGCGGGGTCCTGCAGCCCACACCTGACCTCAGCAATCTGCAGCCTGCCCTCCGCGAGGCCACGGAGCACTCACTACCTGTTAGCTGTCAGTCTTTCCTTCTGTAAGATGGGGGTGAGGTGGGAATTAAGAGACAATGGCAAAATCAAGATATTGAACTGAGCCCTGGCTGAGGATTTCAGGTGGTTAGAGCATTGACCCGATATGCCAAGGTTGTGGGTTCAATCCCTGGTCAGGGTACATACGAGAATCAACCAAGGAATGAATGAATGAGTGGAACAAAAAAATTCTCTCTCCAAAAGCTATGTAAAAACAAAAAAGAAGATATTGAACAGGCCCTGGTCAG